TAAAGACTACTCCCTCCGTCCATAAAAAAAATGTAATTCTCACTTTTAATTTCGAAGAGTCAACCAACATGAATTTTGACCAAAACTATATAAAAATTCACTAACAATTATAATACAAAATAAATACTATTAAATTGATTATGAAATATATTTTTGTAATAAATTTAGTTGGAGACATAAATACAAATAGTATTCACTATAAACTCGGTCAAAATTAATCTAGTTTGTCTCGCACGCATTCCATAGTTGCATTCTTTTGTGGATGGAGTGAGTACCTGATATGGTTTTTTTTATTTATAAAAGGTACTTTTATATTAAAATCAATGATGTGTCCCCTCCATCAAATCGATCCTTCTCCTACAGCAAACCAAACGTCCAAACCACAACCAACCACAATGCAACACACACGCTTCAATTTGTGTTGTCTAGAATCTCATGTCAATCTTCTAATTAATTCAATCATGCATCCAATTGAAACGATACACTACAATCTTCTGAAATAAGCAACATGTAGGTGTGGATGTGTCGTCTGTTCTAGGTAGGATCCTCAGGTATCTGCATGGTAGCAGAACAACATCATTATTTTGTGGTGATCTTTTTGGTGCAATATAATTTATAACGACATGTACTAGCATAGTACAGTGTTTAGTAGCTCACTAGCTTAGTAGTGTCTGGCCTGTGCGCCTCGGTGGTTTGGAGTTTCGACTCAAAAAAAAACTTTTTGTAAATATTGTTTTATTTCTTTTTTCCTCGTCTAGCTAATAAAAATTCAGCAAAGTTTTTGCTGCCTTTCTAAAAAACTAGCATAGTAACTAAGCTAGCAGCCAAATAATTTTTTTTGTCGGTGACATGCAGCGTAAACAGCACGTACGGGGCACAAATATATATAACAGAATAACTAAAATATGAAGAAGATGGAGAGGCATATGCAACAAATGGTTTTGGTGGGTATTGTTGTTCAAACTATGTTGGATTTCATTACTTTTACTATTATTTTCTAAATAGAGATAATGAATTATTGTTGTGGATTTGGAGTCGGTGGTGGAGCGATCCGTGTGATTTGTTCCACACTCCACATTATTAGAGAGAATCGGATTGTAATCAAGCAGGATTAAATATAACACACACACGGACCGAGATCATATCCATCAGGGATTAGATAAGACAGATTTCTTTTAAGCCCTTTATTATTTGTTTATATATATATATATATATATATATATATATATATATATATATATATATAATATAGGATATATATGAGTCCGTCTGGGAGACTATGAGTCCGTCTGGGAGCTAGGGCTTTTTTGTAGCAGAATTTATATTAGAGATTAATGAATGATGTGCAGCGTAGCTCTTTCTACATGTAGCTCTTTCTACATGTTTGGAAAAAAAAACAAAGAGAAATGACTTCACTAGCTCTGAGAGACGTTTTGGGTGTATTTGGTTGCTCGATCGATGTTTCATATAGACGTTTTGGGTGGGGAAGCAGGATGAGGGGCTGCAAATTCTAAAAAAAAAGAGTTTTGGGTGAGGTCCTATGAGTAGATATAAGAAAAATTAGTAATGAGATGTTGTCCGGTAATTTGCATTAGCGGATACTCTCTCCGTCCCCGAATATAAGACGCGATTTGACTTGATGCGGTCTTAAAGAACATATTTCGATCTATTTCTCTTGTAATATATAATTTATAGGAACAAAATTAAGTTTGATCATTAGAAAGTATTTTTTTTCTAAATACAAAATCTAATGTAACTGTTTTTATAATATAAACTTTTGATATAATTAGGCTAATTGTTAGTCAAAGATAATAAAGTTTGAATATTGAAATTCGTGCATGTTCTTATATCCGGGAGTTTAATATGTCTAGCCTGTAACTGTAAGATCGACTAACGTGTGGCTTTAATGATACGTTCGTCTCAGCGCGTGCAAACTTTGACGGAGCAGATCACCCAATTATCCAAACACGCCTTTTGCGAATCAAGAGACGGAGCCGGACTGGCCTGATATATGTATATTTGATTTAATTTGGTAGTTCGTACGGCTTGAGATTTTCAGCAGCAATACAACATCATCATCATCATCATCATCATCATCATCATCATCATCATCATCATCATCATCGATCTGATCTTCAGTTGAGAGGATTAGTTGCATGGCTGCTAATAAGTAGCTTCAATTCGTATTGTACTGCAGAGGGTACACGAGGACATGGCCGCTTGCTGACTGCTGCCAAGTGCCAATCCACGACTGCACTGCACACACGCACATCTGCAAACAAACATGCAATTCTATGTTTGGTGTGACCCAAATTATCTCAGATTTAGCTATGACTTCCATCCAACAAATATATATTATGAAAACATGCTTTATAATGAATCTGCTAATGGCACATATATTTAGTATAATAATGAATATTAAATATCTTGATACAAATTTGATTAAACTTAAATATTCTAGCATTTTTAATAATACTAAAAATTACATCCTTTCTAGGACGGTGAACGTATATATTAGCACCAGCACTCCAGCAGTAGCTAACTAGTTATACTGTACCGTACCTGCAGATGCACGACTTGTAGAGATAATAAGGTACTTTATCATATGATGATGTGCCATATCCAATCCGTACAGCATCATTTAATTAATTTTCTGATGCTCTGATGCAGCTAAATGCTTGGAATAATAATACCCCTTTGGTATGAATATATATATATATATATATATATATATATATATATATATATATATATATATATATATATATATATATGCCAATTTTTTCAGGTTCCTAGTTTCTTGTTTCCAGTGTCCATTTCAAGCACCAAACTTCGAACTGGGCCTTACACTGCCAGCCCTATGGGCTTTCCTTCTCCGCCATCGAAAAAACCTTGAGTATCCGGCTCAAACAAGAAGAACAGGGCATTTGGCCCATTAAGAGTAACAGTTTGTCGGCCCACTGAAACAGGCCAGCAACCGTGCCGTCATTGCCGTTCCCGTTCCCCTCGCACTCACTGCTCTCCGGAAGCTGCATCTCGCCGGCCGGCGACGGCCGTGCCTCCTGCTCCCATCCTTGCGGCTTCCCTTCCCTGGCCTCGATCTGCGCCAGGGAAATGAAGACAAATAAAATTTAACTTGGCTTAGCAACATACTGTTTCGAGCCACATTCAAATAAATAAGCGTCAAATTTAGTAACAATGTCAAAATAAGTGCTTATTTTTTTTTATTGGTAGCTTCGGTGACTTGATGCTTATTTTTTTTATTATGATATGACTCACGTCGCCTCTTTTTTTTTCATCCCTCTGTTCTTGGGACATTGCATGCCATCGAGCTCTATCCTTTTCCCTCTTGTGGTCTTTAGCATCAACTGGTGATAGTTTTAAAAAAAATCGATATAACATATACATAGGAAACACAATGGAATATTCGATAGCATGTTGCATTCTGTAACCTTCTTTAGTTGTGTTAGTCTTGTCTCCCAATGGACACATGATTGTAGGATCTCTATCAGTTAGATGAACAAGTAGAGCAAATAACATGAACCGTTAAACCAATGGTTCTAGTTGACCTCATATTGTTTTTCTATGCACTGGTGCAAATTGAGACTAAAAAGATAAGTCAGGATGGCTGTTGAGATGGCTAGGATTGTCAGGAATCATTGACCAACATGATGAAAGATATCCAGCCTTTTTCAGCAACTATGTATACACTAAATAAGAAATTCTATTTATATCAACATAACCACATCACATAGACTTATGAAGCAGGTTTTGTGTAGCATATCAGTGCTCTCTAATCTGGATATCTTTAAAACATGACTGGAATAAACATTAGTTATCTACAGTCCAATGTACTGAGAAATCTCCTTAAGTGTTTCTTTGGTCAGCACCTCGTTGTTGGCCAATGCTGGATGGCCTGACTTGATCTTCTCTCTGCTCGATCCCTTTACAGGTTTTTACAATCACAAACCTGTTATATGAACACCACGAGGTCAAATGACGTGTAACCAGATACAAATTTCTAATAAATATTCCATCAGACAGGATTAATAAAAACACAACAGTTTCTCTGAACAACACTTTTTTCAAAAAAAAAAAAAAAAAAACAGAACTATCAAAGATAATAAAAAAATAGGATTCCATCAGAGTATCACATCAGCATCTGTAGTATCATTGGATTATCAGAAAACCACATTGTTGGGTAAGATGGAATTTGGAATGTCCTTTTGCATCAGTTAATCAAAAAGAAACATTATTTGTTCTGGCTCGACTAATTACAGGAGGCATACTGTAATGTTAAAAAAAAAGGGCAAAAGATTCACGGTCCATTGCCAAATCTAAATTACATGAGGCATGCTGTGCTATACAATAGCGTAAATTACTTACACCATACAGTCTCTTACTTATAGGGTCTGCTTCTTTTTTTTTTTTTTTTTTTTGCTCAATGATAGGTTGGTGGCATTCCTAGACCTGAAGAATGCTATGCCTACATTAAGCCTGCCAATACAGAATTTTTCAGGTGAAGTCTGCAGTCCTCCCTCCCAACCATTTTCCCTCCTATCAGAGAGACATCAGAAGGAACAATTTTCGTATAAATACATGAGCAGCACTGTCCCGATGTTACCACCAAATGACTGTCAGTTCTGGATTCTTAACAAAACAGCAAACAGGTCCCCTTGAGAAAAAAAAAATAGAAGAACTAAATTTAATGATTATTGCCACGATACATATAATGGTTATTGTATTACACCCATTGTCCACAAATTCAATAACTGTGCTAATTTATAAGTTTGGACAGGTCACTCCTAATTTATAAGTTTGTGCATAATTTAAGATTAAAACTTTTGAGGCAGGGCCAGCCCAAAATGGCATTAAACCACTTCTAATCAATTATGGATGTAGAATTGGCACTGACCAGGCATTTTCATCTTCCTGGGCACTAAGGTTCAGATTCTTAAGCGACAGTTCATCAGGGGAAAGGGCCTCAAGATCAGACAGAAATGGTCCTTTGCCTAGTCAGTGGTCATAGGGACAACTTTTCGCCAAAAGAAGTCCTGCCCCTGATAGCCGCCCCTGTTAGGACACTATCAGGTTCAGGGCGCAGCACTGATAGTGTGGTAACTGCAAATTACATGCCATCTTAACTTCAGTTGCCTGCCATCTTAAAATTGGCACTCTCTCTTGTTCCATCCATCCATGGGAGTGAAAGGGGCAATAGAGCAATATGATGGACAGTTTTCAGTATTCCTGACAAATTCTGAAGAAGTTGATTTACTAAACTGCGATGGCCATATAAGCCCCTTTCGTTATAGAGCCTGGGAGATGCTTTCACTCTTTCGTTATATTCCTGACAAACACACATCAGTTCTTTGGTTTTGCTTTATAGAATTTTCTCAGAACAACACTCCATACCTCACGTGACCTTAACTGATATTGATGCAAGCATTTTTTTTTCTAGACTGATGCATTTTAACTCAGTCTGCATTATGCAATGCTTGCTGGCAATCATTGGTATGTGTTCTTTAAAAATTAAATGGAAACTTCAGTGACATCAGGGTATCAAAGATGGCAACCATGGACGATTGATGCAGTACCAGTCATGCAGCATGGAAACTCAAACAGAACAAAACGCAAAAGAACAAAAGGGCAAAGCACACTTCATCAGGAACAATGGACCTCGACGAGCTTACCAGAGGCGCCTGCGAAGTGGAGGCGGCGGACAGGCGGGCGCCGAGGCATCGTCGCTCCTCGCGTCCGCAGCGGCGGCGGGGCAAAACAGAATGGCGCTGGAGCAGGCGAGGAGGAGCCGGCGCGTCCTCGTTCCTCGCGTCCGTGGCGGCGGCGGCGAATGGAAGGGCGAGGGAGCAGGCGAGGAGGATGCTGCTGCTGTGGCCGGCCTAGACGCGGTGCTCGGGGCGGGGATGGGGCTGGCTGCCGCCGCGCCGCGGACGGGGCGCCGGGGCCGGGGCGTGCCGGCTAAAGGGATGGGCGTCGCGCCGCCGCCGCCGGGGCTGGGCGCTCGCGAGCAGGGGGGGCAAGCCGGGAGCGGCCGAGCAGCGAGCGGCGAGCGGCGAGCGGCAGCGCCCAGCGGAGTCGCGCGGCGCGGGAAGTCGCGAGCGAGGCCGAGCGGATTGATTCCGAACTCGGAAAAGGCGCGGCTCGGGATGGGATCTTGAGGAAGGCGTCCGGCAGCGCCGGCCGGGTGGAGCGGCGGCGGCGGCGGGTGGAAGGTGGAACAGGGAGGCACCGTGATTTCGGATAGGCTTCACCACGGACGGGCGGGAATTTTCGGCGGAGCTTTCACCCCGGTCGAGCGGTAATTTTGGAGGAGAGGCTTCACCACGGTCTGGTAGACTCTGGGATAAACACAAGGAGGCTTCACCGCGCGCTGGCCGCCGGGCGCAGCCGGCCTGGCGCTGAGCCGCGGCTGCTACTGCCTGCTGGCTGCGACGCGACCCCGCCGGAACACTTCCCCGCCTGCGCCCTCCGGCCGCCGCAACGTCGCCCCGCAGCAGCGCCAAGCCGCCTCCGGCCACCTCACCAGCGGGTGGCGGCGGCGCTCAACCGCAGCACTTCACCGGCCCCCCCGGCGCCGCCTACCGCTACCACTCTCCCTCCATGGAGTGTCCTTCGACGTACGCCGGCGCTGCCTGCTGCTGCTGCTCTCCCTCAGTTGAACGACCTCGAACTACGTCGGCGCCACCTTCTGCTACCGTCTCCACTCTCCCGCAGGCCGCGGCTGCTGGCTGCCTGCCGATCGGCCAAGCGCTGGGACCTGGGAGCGGGCAGCTAGGAGAGGGAGCGGCCGAGCGGTGAGCAGGGGCAGGGTTGCGGACTGCGGACTGTGGAGCGATGCGGTGAGCAGGGGCGATTTTTTTTATATTTTTAACACTTTTTTTAACTATTTTTAATTTTAACATTTTTTTTTCTTCAAAAGTAACATTTTTGGACGCGCCTGTTTGTATGGCACGGCAAATTCACGCTGCTGCGCCATGCATGACGACGCGACATGGGGTGGTCAATGGCCGCGGCGACCGCTGACGTGGCGGGGCCGACGCGCCGTGCATGATAGCGCGGCGAGGCTTTACTTACCCGTTGCGGCGCTGGCTCCCTCCCTCTGTCTGTCTGCCCGACTCGAGGTGAGGCCGCTCGCGGCGCCCGCGCCATTGCCTCCTAGCTCCCCCATGGCCGGCCATTGACTTTCCCTCCCTTGCCGACCCCCTCCCCCGAAGCTCCTCCTCGGCCTTGTCAAGGTAATGAAGCTCCTCCTCAGCCTCCACGGTGGATCGAATGATTTGAATGAGTAGTTAGGGTATGGAGGAAAATATGAGTTCGTTAGAACATTGGATTGAAGGATTAGGATTAGGATTGTCAATGTTAAGGTTAAGTATAGTTTTTATATAGTTTGCATGTTTACATCTAAGATAGAGTTTGCACCAAATTATATGTTATATTTTATTTGTTGTAATGCAAATGGTTCTCATTGACATTAATTTGTGATGTTTTAATTTTTGTTTGTTAAATTACAACCGTTTTGTTAGATGCAAGACATGTATCGGGAGAAGTTTTGGCGAAAACGGGGTCGTCCTAGAGAATTATACCCCGACGCGTCTAGCAAAGATGCTCCCGTCCCTCCTGACCTCCCTGTCTCTATCTGTGACTGTGGTTTCCCGGCCGACGTGTTTCAATCGAGACGTCCAGACACAGCGGCGCGTGGCTTCTACACATGCAGTCATTTCTATGTAAGTAATTATTTTCACTATCTTTTTTTCTTCATTTGTGTAAGTAGGCTACTAATATTTCATTGAAATCTTGTTGTGTAGGCCCATGAGAGGTGCCTTTTCTTTCAGTGGATCGACGGTGCAGATAAGTTTGACCCTAGGTACCTCTTTTTCGACGATTGGTGTAGAGGGAGACATCCACGTGAGCACTTCGAGCGGTGGGTTCCACCCCCCTAACCCCGCGCCAATGACGGCTAAGGAGAAGCACCTAGCCATAGTTAGACGACTCGATGAACCTCCTCTATGCGAATATGGAGATCGAGCAATGATAAACCTTGAGAATACGTTAGAGTTTGTGTGTCCGAACAAGCACGAAGTAAGTGGAAAGTGTATTTGTTTAAATGTTTATCTCTATATGTGTGCGTGTACTAATGTATTTTCTTGTAGCGTTATGGATTTACGAAGTATCGTTTCAATGAGTGGCTCTATGGTCCTAAGAATCAATGGCCGGAGCCATCAAAGGCAAAGGAAAAGAAGAAAGAAAGGTTAATTTACAAAGCACCTCCAGTCATGTGCGAATATGGTGTTAAATCCAACTACGGTCTAGTAGGTTGGTTATTTTTGTGGTAAACATAAAATCGTATTTTGTTTCTTTTGCTAGGGCATATATGATATAATTTTTCGTTTGGACAGAGCACTAGGAAATGCAGGTGAAAATGTTATGATGGTCAAGCTAAGTTCTTGGATGAATTGAATGGGAGGCAAGTAATTGCACGAAAGAGGGGATATGGACCTGACTACGTCAACCTATTCGTTAAACAGCACAAAAAGAAGATGCGTGAGTTTGCTAGACAGCGCGGTATTCGTAACCCGATCGATGTTAGGCTTGACAAATGGGGGTTGGAGAGACGGAGGGCGTTAGAGGAGGAGAGGGTAAGGAAGAAGACAAGGGAGGAGACAAGAGTAAGATGCAGGTCTTGAATGACCATGTTGTTGCATTGTGTGCTAGTGAGTGCTTTAAAGCCTTTTTATTTTCGTTGCCTGATTTTAAATGTAATATAATCGTGTTGCTAACTAGTTGCATTTTATACATGAAGGGATTAGATGTAGCGAGGACTATACCGCAGAGGTGGCCCGTGTAAGGTATGAGAAAAAGAAGTTAGATGAGCACATAACGCAAGCTGGTCGCAACGTCCAATCTCTGATTGTGTTGGCCGATGATGGGGACAAGGATGAGGACGACACTGTCAGGTTGAGCGATCTCATCGCTCTAGTGGAGGCGGGCTTGTAGGCGGAGGAGGCTGAGGAAGACACTAGCAGACTTAGCAAGCTTATTGTTCAAGCAGATGTGGGCTTGCAGGCGAAGAAGGATGCGTTCTTCTCTTAGGCCGCAGAGGCCGCAGATGAAGCGGAGGTCGCTTACTACAGGCGACAGACAGATCAGGGCAATGCAAGTGAGCCTAGCCACATGAGCCAGATGGAGGAGGACGCGTTCTTGACTCAGGCCGCAGAGGCCGCAGGTGAAGCGGAGGCAGCTTCCTACATGCGACAGGCAGATCAGGGCAATGCAGGTGAGCCTAACCACAGCAATGAGTTAGTGGTAGAGGACTGGTACTCGGACGATGAGTTGCTTACTCAGTATGTTTCAGACTGAGGATTGGTAGAGGTGTGGTAGAGGATTGGTACAGGTGTGCTAGTTCAATGCTTTAGATTTAGTATTTGTATTATAGTAGAACTTTCTCGGTGCTGCATTTTGTTTCATTTGAACTATTTATGTATTGCACCCATGTAACAAACACTATTTAATTTTTATAACGGATATTGTGTTATCTCATAAAACTTTCACCACAAAAAAGGTATTACAAAGCTGCAATTTGCATGTATTTGTTACGTTCTCGGTATATAATGCTTTTTGCTTTTGTCATTGTCACACATTCGGGTATTACTTTTGGGTCTTAGTTTGGTGCCCATCTTGTCCAAACATTATCTAGAAGACTATACCAATCACTAATGACCTTGTGTCATGCTATGCTATGTTTTTTTAAAAAAAAAGATAAATAAAAAGTTGTTCTCACCATTGCGATCTTTCGAAACCCCCTAAATTATATGCATCAAAATCTTGCTTCTACTAGGGAGTCTGGCCAGCGGCCAACATGGGTTTGTCGCGCCACCGTCCACGGCGCGGTTAGGCTGACGCGTCAGCTTCCATGGCGCGGCAAGTTTGACACGCCAGCCGCCATGGCGCGGCAAGGCTGACGTGCCCCCAGCCATGGCGTGGCGGTCAAAGCAGCAGCAAATGGAACAAGGCACTTCTGTTATGTTCTCACATGAGCCAAATTATTTTGTCGTGTCGGTTTAACGAATAGGTCAGCAGGAAGGTTAAGTGCACGAGACAATCAATACATAAGTTCAGTAATACTAATTTGTACACGTCCTAAGTTCATCGCAAGTTCGACAATACCTTTGTTCGACATAAGTTCAGCAAGTCATAACTATGACATAAGTTCGACATTACTCAACATACTACATGTTCCATCAGTATATGGGTATCCGAGTACAAGTGCATCATGTCATCCTAAAGAACTCCTACGACCTAGGAGTATATGGGTACCGCGGACGTCGCTGCACGTTAGGGGTGAACCCAACGTCGGTACGGTCTCGCTGGTGGTACACCCGGTGGTACTGCTGAGTGTAACTAGGATCCTGCAATTACAATATAGGCATCGTTACTTATAATGTTTAAGTAATTGTGACGTATATGGTGAAGGGTTGTTTCAAGTACCTGTTCGTCGAACTGTGTAGGAAATGGTGCATCACCAAGCTGAGACATCACAATCTCATCGTAGTCCTCCTCGTCCTCGTCCTCGTCCTCCTCATCCTCGTCCTCCTCAATGTCGTGCTCCGCAGGACCCTTGTCTGCATTGCCGGGAGTACGAACAGAAGAGGTCCCAGCAGTCATCGTGTCGACAGAACCTGCTCGTGTCGGTATAGTGCTCGAGCGTAAGGAACTAGATAGGTCCGGGTCATAGGGCATCTCCTATGGAGTATCCACGCAGCTGAGCTTCTATGCCAGCTTCTTGCAGCTCCTCCTCACTTTCTGCAAAAAAGAAAACACGGATGAATGAGTCATGGGAACAATTTAACCACTGTCATGGCTTTGAGAATAGAATGTACATCGACAAAGACATGTAGAATGACGTGCGGCTTCCCTCTGGTCTCATGAAGTCGCACGGCTGCTTCATTGGACAAACTTGTCAACTGTGTTGCCTGCATACACAATCGAGGTAAGTTTGTATCACTACAATTCATAGGAATGCCGACGTGCAATTGTATTGAAATTCAAATTTCTTACCACGTATCTCTGTAGCAGGGCTCTCTGAAGCTGTGTCTCCATCCTTGTCGCCTCGTCGTATGCATCAGCGGTGTCATCCTTGTCTTCGTCCTCATCAATTGGC